CGTCGAATCGACTACGAGGTGTCAAAATTGACTCTTTATAACTTGTCTAGTAGTTGGGTCTCCTTTAGGTAGTTGATAACGTTTTTTTTTTGTTGTTTCTTGCATGTTAGAGCGGTGTTTTCGTTTAATCCACATTTACTTCTTACGCTTTGGTATTTTCTGCATTCATTTAGTAGGTGCTGGGTGGTGATTTGTAGGTTGCAGGTGTTGGAGAAAGGAGGTTCCGTTTTGGTTAGTAGGTATTCGTGTGTGATCTTGGAGTGTCCTATTCGAAGCCTGGTCATAGCTGTCCTTTCTTTTCTGCTTAGATTGTTATTTGGTATTTTTTGATAGAAACGGTGCGCTACGTCATGTATTTTGGCTCTGTTTGTCGTAGTCCAAATTCTGTTCCATTCTTCTCTTTCCGCTTTGGTCGTTGAAGCTAGAAGGTCTTGGTGTTGGATTGGGATGTTGGTTTCTTTTGTTTGGTCGATTGTTGCTTCTTTGGCTAAGGAATTGGCTTGCTCGTTTCCTTCGATTCCCTGGTGTGACGGGATCCACGTGATTATATATATGTTTGTGGTCATTAGTAAGTTCGGTATAGGTTTCCTGGATCATTTGTATGACTTCGTTCGTTTTGTTGCTATTGATGTTTGTTGTCGCGTTTATTGCAGTCAACGAATCCGTACAGATTACCCTTGATTGATATTTGTTTTCACGGATGTGCCGCAGTGCTTCAAGTATCGCGTATGCTTCAGCGGTCAGGATGTATGTGTGTTTGGAGAGTCGTTGTTTTTTGGTGGAGTTTTCTGTGACTATTGCGAATCCTATTCCCTGTTTAGTTTTAGAGGCGTCTGTATATATCTTGTGGTAGTTCTTGTAGGTGTTGTTTAGTTTCTGGAAATCCTGTTTGTGTTCTATGTTGTTTTTTTCATTTTTCTTTTTTTTTTTTGGATAACCAGGTCAGTGTTTGTTTCTGGCGTTTTTAATGTCCATGGGGCTATTTTTCCATGGTTGCGTTCGATAATAATAGGTGTTGAAGTGATTTCTGTTGTATTCGGATATTTTTTTAGTCTCGTACGGAATGGCTCCGGTTGTCTTGAGTTTCTGTTGTGGTGGTTTATTAGTCTGTCGGCAAAGGTGTTGTTGTATGTTGGTAAACCCTTGTTTTGTTAATATCGAATCACGCGACTCACTCGGCCAAGTCAATTCGCTTGCTCCGAATGTTGCTGACACACGAGCACCAGCCATCCTCCAGCTCCTCGATACCCGGGCCACGTCACGTGTGGTAATTGATATTAGCCATTTTCCCGAGGCTTCTTCTAATACCTCGGGCTCATTACTCCGCTCATCAGCCCGCCCGAGTGTCCAATTCTGAAACCGGCGGACCCTATTAGCGGTGGCGGCGGCAAAATCCTCGTAAGTTTGCTCCTGCAAATTATCCAGCGGGATACACGGAGCACGCTTGTAAACGTGTGGCACGGCTCGTGTTTTAGCTCGTCGACTAGAAGAGGAGAGTAGATTCGCGAGTAGAACGGTGTGATTAATTGAACGGCTGACCTCGAATAAGGGGTCACGTTTACAAGAGATTCGGAGACTTTCTCCGTGAGCTTCCTGAGGACACGTTTTATTTTATTTCGCTTATTCTATTTATTATTTATTTTATTATTTATTATTTACTTTATTTTATTATTTATTTTATTTTATTTATTATTTATTTTATTTTATTTTTTATTTATTATTTATTTACTTATTTTCTTTTGTTATTTATTTATTTTATTTTATTTATTATTTATTTACTTATTTTATTTTCTTTTCTTTTGTTATTTATTTATTTTATTTTATTTATTGTTTATTAATTTTGTTATTTATATTTTATTTTGTTATTTATTTATCTTATTTTATTTTATTTATTATTTATTTATTTTCTTTTATTTTCTTTTACTTTTTTTTTACATTTTTCTTTACTTTTTTTTCTTTTTTTTTTCTTTTCTTTTCTTTTCTTTTATTTATTTATTTCGTTTTATTTTACGTTGACTTCTGTCTGATTGTATATTAAAATAATCCTCGGACTAATGTTAGAACCACATCAGAATGAAATAATTAGTATTGATTTAGTGTTCTAAAGAATTTAATATGAAGAAACATAAAGACTAGGATGTTAATACTGATTTATAAAACTTGTTCGTTATAAGAAGATAAAAGAAGAAATCGTTGTTCTCAGATCCATTAATCAATTGAGAAAGTTAGAAGAGGAATATTTAATTAGAATTCGGAAATTACGTTAATTAGAAAATCTGAGCATTAAAAGTATATTAAAATGTAAAAAGTATTTTTTGTACTTTTAATTCTTTTTCTTTTAATAACAAATGATAGTTTATTTTATTTTATTTCGTTATTTATTTATCTTATCTTATTTTATTTTATTTTATTTATTATTTATTTATTTTCTTATTTAAATCTAATTTATTTTCTTATTTAAACCTATTTAAAATGTCGATTTTATTACTGTTAGCTGAGTTTCGATCGAAATGTAAAATACATGAAAAATGTATGTTTAAACTGTTAGTCGAGATTTCTATTCAATGTTTGCCAATCTTTTTTACCTTTTCGATATTTTTCTTATAAATTGTTTTAATGCCAAACGAAACAACTTTTTTTGCTGTGAGTGTTCGTTTTTTTTACGATCTATCTAAATTCGAAAAAAAAAAAAAAACACCATATGCAAACACATAATTCAAACATGGAGAAATTCGTAGGAATTTAAAAATTTTTAATGAATATTCCAATCGCGAGATGAAAAAAAAAAAAATGTGGAGGAGAAGAATAAAATATGGATTAAAATTGGAGAAAAAATTGTGGGGCTGCCGGATTAGTGTGAAATATTCGCAGCGACGAAAATTTTACACTTTCTTGTGAACAAACACGCGAATTTTGCTGCCCTTGCGAATATTCCATTGCTATTATCTCTACGAATATTTCAGCATTAATCTTGCCTTGTCTCTCAAGACAAGTGAATGTATGATGTTAATTAATGATTATTGGAATATCGGGAAGTATTGAAAAAATAAAATTTATATTACAAATAAGTTATTGCTGCTTGTGAAAGAAGTCGAACATATATAGCAATTTTTTTACGAATATATCGTGCAGATTGTACAGAACATTTTGAAATTTCGTTAATGATACAACGAAAGATTATCATGATTATTGATGTTTAAAACAATTCATTGCAAACGTACGAGCATGAATATTAAAATTAGTTTCAATGAATATCGAGGCTTATTATAGTTTGTTTGAATACTTTCGTGATACACGTTCATTTTCACAGAACAGAATTACGCTTGATAAGAGCAGCAAATACATGCAAAATATATTTAAAAAATAGGTCACTGTCATTAATATTTGGTAGATTATTAAGACTCGAAACTTTTCCATTGCACGTGTTATATATTATATTGTGTCCTTGTGTAAAATGTCTTATAATTTCTTGACCAATATAATCATGATGTAATGGTTTATGAAATTCTGAAATGTTTTATATAGCATAATGGTTTATGAAATTCTGAAATATTTTATATAGCACGTATATATTCATAACAAGTTTCTATAAATGTTCGAATAGTTTGGTGAGCTATTATAATATGTAAAAGTTCAAATAAGTAGGTTCAACAACTAAGACTTTATTCAATTAGATATTGATCAAAATTTAACCCAAACATATATATATAAAAACCAATACACCAAGAATTATAATATATAAACCAATACACCATGCATATGTATATGATATATTTAATTTATATTTAAAAGTTCAAATAAGTAGGTTCAACAACTAAGATTTTATTTAATTAGATATTGATCAAAATTTAATCCAAACATATATATATATATAAACCAATATACTAAGAATATATGCATATGTATATGATATATTCCTTAATTACTACTACTACCCAAAATTTTGCAACATCCATCATTTTCGTATTCTAAAGTAGAAAAAATAAAATAAATAAATAAATAAAATAAATACACGAATATCTGCGTTGTTTTAATCATAAATATTATTTCACTTTAGTATTTAAATTTTGCTTAATATAGTGGATAAAGAATAGTATTGGCAGATCTAGTTTTCTCGCAATATTTTTGCGAATATTTAAAACAAATAATACATTAACGAAATTTGTTTGCATAAGTGATTTACTAGGTTCAAAAATAATGTGCACAGCAATTTCCAATAATGAGTGCAATGTAATATATTCATTATATATAATCTACTCGCTGTATAGTATACACAATACAAATAATATAAAAATTCGAAAATAATTGAAATAATATCGACACAGGGAGTTTTTCTTGCACCATTTGAGAGAACAGAAATATTCTTAATAGTTTGAAGACTACATGTCCTTTTCTATTCCACGACATCTCAGCATTAAAGCTTCACCACGAAAATATATATTTCTAATAACATTCCATTATTAAATGCAAATTAGGCATTTAACTTTTCTCGACACTTGAATTTTTATATTTCTTGCATTATCGTTACTATTATTTAAGGAAACAGATTTCCAGTCGTACACGTCAATCATTAACCCCTTGCGCTGAGATGACTCCCAATATTTCCTCAGTTTTAAGTATATTTTCAAGTATATTCAAGTGAAAACAAGATAGGCGAAACGATCAACAAAATTTATTAATTCTCAGTCATTTCTCACCAGTGAACGTCATGTCACACCGACGAGCTCAAAAAAAGAAAGCGACGAATATCAATTGTATACATACGGGCTCGGTCACTCGTTATGGTCCGCAATCAGCTGCCAGCGCAAAGCGGTTGAAAAGAAACAACGCCCAAACGTTCAACAGCGTGCGCTGATTTATATTTAACTTTCCAAATTGTCCCACCGCGATCCCTCGGTGCGATCGTCCGCCGCTAAATCAAACTAAACTTTCCAAACACAGGCCACGAGCCCACCACCCCATCTAATCCCATCCACCGATCGCGCTCGTCGTTCTCCATTCCTAATTCAACCTCTGCCATTTCCAGGTACCGCCGCCCCGACGGGAGTTAAGCATCGCGATCGTTGTTAAGAAGGACGAAGTGGGAGAGAGGATCGAGTGGCTCGCAGCGAGCCGTCGAAGAAGGAGAGAGTGTGCAGCCAAGCACGTGACACCGAGTGCCGTGACCCGAGACACTTGTTGCACCGCTGCGGCCCCTTTAAAGTGTCACCGCGCTCCGTCCACGTGGCGGCAGGATTAGATCGACGCCCGAGAGAACAAGGAGGAAACGGAGAAGAAGGAAAACAAAAAAAGAAAGAAAGAAAGAAAAGAAAGAGAAACGCGCGTGCCGTGAATTTCGTCGTTTGCACTATCGTGGTGCACCAAGCGTGGATATGAGCGGTTCGAGCGTCCCGTGCTCGATGATCGTTGGCGAGGACGCGACGAGAAACCAACCTCGCGAGTGGTGAAGAGATCGTGTGTGATGCTGTCGTTTCGTCCGTTAGTGCGTGCACGCGTGTAAGAACCCAGCGGGATCTGTGTTTTGAGTTTCGCGGGAGAGAGGAGGAGAAGGGCGCTCGTTACAGGGTGGTGAACATGAACGTGATTTGGTGTCTAGACCGGTGACACCGGTCGCTGTTGTGCGTGCGTGGCTATCGCCGCTGGTTACTCCGAATTAGCAGACTATCACTGAGACGACGGATATCCTCGATCGGTGAGACGATTTTCTATTTTGATTCTCTCCAGTTGTATAATTTCGAATTGAAACGTACTGATACTAGCAGTGAGTTTTCAATCAGACGCAAGTATTTGACACCAGGAAGCTAACAAAGTGGCCATTTGTAATTTAATTTAACAGTTAACGGTTAGTTAATGATGATTTAATTTAATTTTAATTCATAGCCGTTCATAATTTCACGACAATCTTAATTTACCATAATTTTTGTGCTTTGGCTTGTGTTGTTCGTCGAAATTTAATTTCTCTGCCACAAATTTTATACTTTAGTCGTCGATAGTTCTACTGTAAGAAACATCGACATCTTTTGTATAGAAAATATTGTTGTATTTGTTTCAAACATGTGGGAAACTATAGTTGAATCCTCCTCACGAAGGATTTCAATATTTTTTTAAATACGATCAAGTTACTTCTGTTCAATTGAAAACTCTTCTCGGTGAAACAAGATGTTTAAGATGATAGTTGACTGCTCGTCCATTTAAAATGTTAAAAAAAAAAAAAACAATTTAATATTTAAATATATATCAAAAAGAAATAGAATTTAATGGAGGTATAATAGGTAATTTAGTTTAATTGTTATTATTATTTCTATATGATGGAAACATTTTAAGTTTGATTTTACAAGTGAATGATAATTAATACGATGTGTAGCTATAATACAAATTTAATGCGCAGAGCAGCATGAAATCTAACACAGTAGTACGTAACAATAAGTTGGTTAAACTTCGAATATCGAAATATAAATTACAAGGAATAATACCTCTGGAATTAATTTCCGTATTAAAGTATTTAATCGATGCTGCGAACAGTTTCATGAAATTATCAACGAGCGAAGGAATTTAGCAATAGTCGCGAATTTACAATGCCCACATAATGTGAACAATATGAAAATTTCGTTTCAATTGCAAAATGGAATCTTTGTTCAAATGAAGGCTGTTAAAATTAGATAATGAAACGAAATGAAAATAATACGGTAAAAGTATTTTCTTTAATAAAATTCTAGTCTAAGATTTTACTTATTGTTTTTTTTTTTTTTTTTTTATACAATACTATGAAAAAATCGTAGATAACGAAAGAAAGGTTTTATTTTTGGGGATAAATATAAATTTAACGTTATCTCTTTTAACTTTCAATAAATTTTTAACTTTAAAGCTATTGATAACTTAATTTAATTTAGATAATATTGATTGATTTGAGATAATGAATTTTATAAATGACTTTTCATTTATAATCTTATGTTCAATAATTTCATTTTGTGTTATCGAAATATTTTCAGTATTAGGTAAAAGTAATTGATTATACATTTACTACATGCTTTCATGCCAAAGTTTTATGAATATTTTAAACTTTCTATCGACTAGTTTAATTCTGGAATTACTTATAATAGCAGCTAGATAATGCAATTACAACCTTAAATCAGAAACTCAGAGACACGTGTACACATATTTAAGTAGCATTTTATAATTTAATATACAAGTTGCTCCACACTTTTGTCAAACGTTGCCGGTTCTCTATATAGTAAACGTAATTACTTTGTTAAAAAAAGTTTTATCCGTGAGTTTCATTTGAGTTCAAATAAAAATAAAAAGAAAAAAAATAGAAGAAACACGAAATAACAACAGATTGATTTTTCATTTGTTCAACTTTTTAATGAAAATTGATGGGTGTAGGAGACGGTCTCATTTCAAACAGCTTCAATTACGACGCGTTTAAATTGATCATTCCTTCAAAATAAATTAAACTCGAAACAACCATCGCGGATTAATTATTACATTTTTCCTGTCTTCATTTCATCGATTAACCTGAAAGCAGGATATAAATTTCTACGTGAATGATGTTGCTTTTCGTTAGTAAAATTTTTAACACCATCGAGAAAATATTTTACAATAAAGAAAAGATCGAACACTAATTTCATTTAAATCAACTTAACTTTTCTAACGATGCAAAATTCAACGAAGTACTGTTTTCTAATTTAATTTTCATTACATATTTACCATTATCATTATTTTATTTCATTATATATTAACTTTTATTGTTTTACTGAAATATTTTTGTTTTTCAAGTTCAAACATACTATTTATAATGTAGTAAATGTATTTACAAATACGATATGATTATTCAAACAACGGATAATATAATTTCAATTATTCTAGTAACACACAGGTATTTATTTCATAATTATACAATTAATTGAGCTCAAGTGAATTCATCTCTGCCGTTAATTGAGATATGCACGTAATTAGTATTCGATAATTTTGAATATGTGAACCTTTTTAATAGAGAAAAAAACGCCTTGTAAGTTTCGATAGAAAGGAAATAAGTGGGTAAATGAATAATTATGATAGGTTGATTTCACATAATTTATAAATCTTACGCGTTAGAGATTGTTCTGAGTATCTCGAACTTGCACGAGTTAGAGATAAAATACAATTCTTTCCTAAATGAAAATGAATAATTGAAAAGAAGCTAATAACTAAATTCATAATCATTTCCTCCAATACCAGAACCATCTGTAATAATATTCGAAATAAAATAAAAAAAAACACTGCTTTGAAATGATTCCTCATTCGTATGTCACTACACCTGTGATTTTGAATATTATATGTATACATAATCTTTCTTGTATATCTCATTTCATAAATATTAGACATTAAATACCTTTTCTCACATTGCAAGAAATTATCGTGTTTTATTAATAGTACCAATGGAATTTCGCAACGTTTAATTGTTTATCATTTAAAACTAGTAAATGGAATTCTGAAAAAACTCGTTAACAAAATTTTTCAGTTCTTTGCAGATGCTTCGCCGGTCTGCAAAGTTCAGTTGTTTATGAAATAAGAGGATTCGATTTAACCTCTTGCGCTGGAATGACGTGCCACGCGCATCGAGAACATATTGTTCCAAAATTGTAATAGTTTCTCAGTTTCAACTATAATAATTCAAGTAAAACAAACTAGTAGCAAACCGAGTAGTAAATTTATTGCTTCTCAATAACTTCTCAATAATCCAGCGATATATCATAACGACGAGTTCGAAAAGAAAGCGACGAATGATATTACACGGTTTCGGTCACTCGTTACGGTCCGCAAGTCAGCTGCCAGGCGCAAGCGGTTGAAATAAGAAGTGTCGACTCGAAAGAAACAAAACATGAAAGATTCACCTTTTTGAAAAATTCACATTTCACATTCGACTACACTCGACTGTATCTAAGTTCCGTATATATATATTTCGTCGCTTGTGTTATTTTTGCCGCTGCCAATGTTTAAAGGATCGACGCCCGACGCAAAATTCGCCGACGTATTGTATCAGAACGCGCAAGAACGAGCCTGAATAAACATTCTGACACACGCTTCGTGTTCCTTCAGTCGCGTAATCACGACTCAAAAAAAAAAAAAAAAAAAACAGCCGACATCTAAACCGTGTGATTTATAATTCGTAGGTGGATATCGTCGGGCTTGTAGAGGGGTGGGTTCGGCGAGGACAGCAGTGGAGAAAAGACCGGAAGGCTGGATCACCTTCGTGGAATGTCTTCAGGCGCCAAGCGGCTGGTGCAGTCGCTTCGGGGCCGCAGCGGGGGTGGCAGAGGCAGCGGTGGTGGCCGCGGCGATGCTGGCGGAGGGGACGGCAGCGGCGGCGGTGGCGGCGGAGCGAGCACCAGCGCGACCAGATTGTGCCATTACGACAGCGGTCACGAGCTCGACGAGATCTCGGTGGTCGGTGCCGCCATCAGGGGCAGCGAGGGCCTTCCCACCCCCACGACGCCCTGTCACTGCGGCGGCCTCAAGTATGGCAGCGGGCAGACGCTTTACAGCATCGCCGGCCTGGTGCCCCCTGCGCCCGCTGCACCTGCGCACGGAGCCCAGTCAGGTGAGTGAGCACCACTCGTTTAATCCTAATTCGTCACCCTTCGAGGGGATCGATTTTTTTTTTCTCTTTTTTGTATATTCTTCAAAAAATGAATCTCTGTAACCTTACACGTGAACTCTTAAAGTTGACGAAGGATGTTGTATGGTTGTTTGAAGGACGCGACGACCAATACTTAAACTTTGAAGTTTAAACATTTTTCTGGAAACTATGTTTCTCAGAACGGATGTCTCGAAATCTACTCTATCAATTGACTCAGAATTTTAAGTACGCGCGACTTGGTACATGTGCGACCATAGCTCCTATCAGAATCAACCAAAAATATTTTACTTTTTATGTTTCCTTAGGCTCTTCCGAAGTCTAACAGAAACGTGCAATAAAATGGTAATTGAAATTTTAAGTATCGCCACTTTTTTAATTACCGACTTTTTTCTTTTGTTTTGGTACCTGCTATAGTCAAACTCATGCTAATTAAGGGACATTCACATTTTTTTTTATTTGCGACAAGCAGAATGGCCGAACGTGAGACGACCTTTTTTAAGAGCGACTATGTTTGAGAGTAGGCAGTGCCACTAATTTTAACCCTTTTTGTCCCAAAAAATTTCGAAACGTCGTTGAAATACGTACAAATAAACCTTGTCAATTTGACTGCAAAAGGCATAATAGTTTCTTTGCAAAAAATTCCCTAACTAAGTTAAAAAAACACGCACTTTACACTTGTTAAGGGTAATCCAGCTTAAAAATAATCGACTGTTTGGGGATTTTTTTCTAAGAAAACCATGATACATTTTGGTACGCAGTTTTCGCATATAGATTTATTCATACTTAAAGAGTATTTACAATTTTTTTTTAACGAAAGTTGTGGAAATTATATAGCTTTAGGTAAAACATGTTTTTAAAAAACGGGTTCGAATGGCTGATTCTGGTCCACCTGGTTATTTGAAACTAAAAAAACCAAAATGCATCTTAATTAGTATAAATATGGCTATCTCTCATGAACCACGGAAACAGCGGAAATTTTAAAAATTAAAAAAATGGCAGAACTTTGAGCCATTTCTTGAATCAATCGTAAGTCTGCTTCTTGCATCATCAGTTCTGTTTTACTTCTTTTTGTATTTGAGTCGTATCTCTCTCTTTTCGAAAATGAAGAACATTGCTGCATCAGCGATGCATCATTTCATGCATCATTACATTTTCCAACAGTAAAGTAAATTTAGAAACATAATAATTTTTTTTTTTTTGTTAAATTACATGTTAAAGTAACGACGAATAGAGTATCATCAAGAAACAGACTAATCATTTAATTTTCGACCGATATCGGCTCAAATTCAAAAGTCACTTTCATTGAATATAAATGGAAATTTTCACGACACCCTCGGAAGAAGAATAAACTCGGAAAAATTGAAGGTAGACGCAGTAATTTCTTGTTAAAATTTGAACAAAGGGAACATGCTAATACGTCGTAAAAACGATACACGCTTAATGTATATCTCATCGATAATTCTACAGTTCATTGAGCACAGTGACACGAATTGAAATTTTTTCGCTGCAAAAGAATATTGGTACGAACGGCTGATTTCGTCAAATGACTTTGGATGGTAGCCAATAGCGCGGAACCCTCGAAGTTCTACTTCTCTGTTGTTATCTGAAACGATACCGAAGGTACAAACTTCTCCGTTAAAGTTTTATGGTTTTCTAACACAACCGTGGTGGTCTGTATGTCACAATGAAGGAGAGGAAGAAACAAGGAATAGCATAACGAGCCTAAAATGTTTCTACGTGTTTATTCCCGCGGGCAAACGAGAGCCTCTGTCAATTTTACAAAACTAATTTATCATGGAACTTCTCTCTTCTTATGCTCCAGAGAAATTATTGAACTTTATTGATTTTCACAAAAAAAAAAAAAAAAAACAATAACAACGGGAATGAAAGTTTCATACAGTTTAATTGTTTGTCGTTTAACTTGAGGGTGACTCGTTAATATAAATTTTCTAGTTCTTTAATGTTTCATCAGTCTGCAAAGTTCAATTCGTTCGACAGATGATTCGATTTAAAATAAGATTAATGACAAGCGTCAACTTTACATTAATTAAATTGATAATACAAAATACTTTCAAAAGTGTGTTATTATCTTGTTAGAAATAATTAGAATAATATTAAATTATAATAATTATTAATAATAATACATTAATATGCACAATTAATATATTAATGATAATACATAAATATATATAATTAATATATTAATAATAATATTAAAATAATATTAGAATAATATTAAATGAATATCTATATTAATTAATTCTCCATAATTAGTATAAATCGCAGTTTTACAATGACAATAGCATTTTCGATAAAATTACTTGCACGATATAACTATAACGATAATACTTTTTCTGACGATAATACTTTGTTTCTGTGTAGGAATATTGAATAATTTATGATAATATTTATAGTAATGAATTTATGTATTATTACTAATAATATGGTAATAAATTTAGGTAATCTGCATTTCGAGCTTTTAAAATAAAAGAAACTGCGAAGAAAGACCAGAAGGTTTATTTGAATTTATTCAGGCAGGGATTTTCATAAGCTAGTGGATCATATCGTGTCAGGTTCTTTGTTCAGTGTTGCGCTTCACAAAGAGAATTCGTGCTACAAGATGTTTGAAATTGCTTTTCTTGTTTTATAAGATATAACGTGGCGATTCAATGCTGCGTTTTCTCTGTGCGTCAGTTCTTGAAAACATTTCAAAACGATTTTTCACATATTTGTACATAAGGTTTACGATCGATGACGATGTTATCGGTCGTCTGTTAATTTAATTTTTAATATTTGACCAACGTAACGTATAAAAGTTTTATGACGAGAGGCATAAAAAGGACAACAATGATAATTTAGAGAATTTAGAGAAAATCACTCACTAATTTTATGAGTAAAAATAAATTTACAACACAAAAAGAAAAGAATTTAATTATTTTGCACGTAAAGAGGAATTCATGCGATGTTTAATTGACTCATAATGAAAAAATATATCATTTTTATTAAACAGTCGCGTGCAATTTCCAATGAAAAATTTAGCCAGAGAATCTAATAAAAGAAACTAAATTTGATTGTAGATGAATATAAACATTTCAAAATATATAGTTCATGTATACACGCATGAAAATAACAAATTTACATAAAATATATATCTAAATATATAGAATATATATATATATAAATATATGTAAATATATATAAAAATATATAAGTATTGGGCTATTACATTCAAAGTATATAAAAACTCAATGATACCACATAAGTATCGAATATAATATAACAAATAAAATTATAAAAATAACAAATTTACATAAAATATATATCTAAATATATAAAATATATATATAAATATATATAAATATATATAAATATATGTAAATATATATAAAAATATATAAGTATTGGGCTATTACATTCAAAGTATATAAAAACTCAATGACACCACATAAAGTATCGAATATTTACATATTTAAAAAGAGAAATTCACATTCTCCCTAAAATAAATTTAAAACAGAATTACACGTATTGCATGGAAAATTATTTAATCGTACACGTACATTATACGATGTATTTTACGTACAAATTTTATTTTACATGTATATTATGTAAGACGTGAAGTCATATATGTGTACATGTAGAGAAAAGAAGGAATTGCATTATTGAAACGATTAAATTTTCAACTATACTCGTCCCTTTGATCGTGTATACACTACTGAAGCCCGTGAATCCGCTCACGTTAGAAGGCAATGCATCATTCGTTATTGGTCCATAAGTTTTCAGAAAATTTTCCGCCTTGGCGGTCTCGCAGAGACATTCCTTGTTCAACAATTCTTCTGACAAAAAAAAGGTATGCGCCATTATGCGGTACATATGCATGCCATTCGTGATTCTCTCTCTCTTTCTCTCTATGCCTGTATGTAATACCGCGTTACGTGTAACAGTATGAAAGGTAGAGGTTTATTTCAATTCCCTGTCGCGTAGACGTTCCATCCTTTCGGGCGAATAATTCATGGAACAGTCATCCCCGCGAACGATACGTTCTAGTTCTTAAATCTTTGTCTTCGCAGTCCTTTTACGATGTTTTTTGCCCTCCGTTATTGTACTTGATACGGTACGATAAATTTTTGCGAAAGTTGAAAGCAGGAGCATAAATAAAGAATGGTCGGAATTTATTGATTGTTGGTAAAAAGGCAGTTTGTCTCCAAATATTGAAAAAATTGAAACAGTTGAAGTTAAAGAATGTTTTAATTAAGAAATTAAATTAAATTTTATAATTAAATGAAATAAATTTTTACTTTTTGCTCTGTTAGAGCATATATATATATACAAGTTGCTATGAGAATCTTCACAGTGTCAAAAATGTTTGATACTTCTATGGATTATATATACGTTTTATTATTACAGTCTGTGTTTATTAATGAAATGAATTCTAATTGCCCTTGTTATGTAAAAATTGCGATATGCAACAGTTATTTTTTAATATTGTTTCGAAATATCGTAATAAAATTTTTTACAGCATCAAATCTATTCGCAAGCGTTAAATTGCGAGTTTGCAACGTTCTACATTATTGCTTCTAAACGTGTAGTTAGGAAGAAAAGTTGTTTATTTATTTATTGAAAGATAAAACGATCGGAAAATTAAACACCCCATATGTAAATGCAAAGACCAACGTTACGTTAACGCAACATCTCATTTGCAATTCCTTTTAATATAGTATTTCCTAATAATATCGGGACAATGAAAAGAAATTGCGAAGGATTCGCTTAACATCTTTTTCGCTATATTTCGCTGCTTCCATTTCTACTGCGAAAGTTTGCAAAAGTTTCGAAAATTAGAATGCACGAGGAAGGAGGAAACTTTGGTAAAAGGAACTGTGAAATTAAAAACAGTTGACACCACGTGCGTGCACGTGATTAAACTTCCATGTGTACGTAACATGCGCTGCGCGCGAAGGTGAAAA